CCAACACCCTCCCTTGAAAACCCTAACCCTAGTTTGAGCCTTTTAAGCAAAAGAAGGTGATCTTGAGTGTTTTGGAGTGTTCTTAGTGCACCTTAGAGAAGAAAGAGCTCTTTGGAGAAGTGTTGGTTGCATTGGAGCTTATAGATCCAGACTTTGTTTTCCTTGATCTTTCTTCTTGAGGTTTAAAGCTTGAATCTTGATGATGAATTTGTTAGATCTAGCTAGTTTTGGGTGTTATGAGCTTTTGATCACTTTAGTGCATAAAGTTTAGATCTTGAAAGTTTGTGACCTTGTTATGGATAAAGTTTGAAACTTTATCCATCTAAACATCATATTGATTCAGATCTAAAGGTTGGAGACTTGGACTTAATGGATTAAGTTGAAAAAGATGCACTTTTGGTCCCTTTGAGACTTAAAGACTAGATCTTGGTTGTTTGGACCATTCTAATGGATAAAATTGGAAACTTTATCCATTATGGAGTTATTAGGAACCATAAAAATGTAATCTTGGACCTTAGTTTCCTTCCATGCATGATCTAGGTTGTCTTAAAGAGTTAAGAAGTTGGGATATTTGGTATTGAGCACTTAATAGTCATGCAAGATCAAAAAGTTGGAAACTTTATGATTGAGAACATCATTTAAGGGGTAGATCTTAAGGATTAAGCTCTTAATGGGAAGAAAGGGTGGCAACCACGTACGCTAGGCGTACCAAAAGGTACGTTGTGCGTACGTGGTCAACCCCTCGACTCTGGTCAAACGTGTAGTACGCCTCGCATACCTATTGAGTACGCCCAACGTACTCACCGAGTTGACCCGGTTGACTTGATTGACTTTGACTTTGACTTTGACCTAGGAGTATTTTGGGTACATTGATTATAAGTTAAGTTTGGTCATGTTCCAATGAATATGTGACCGGTAGAGCTGATATTCGGAGCAGTGTCCTGTTCAGCAATCTTTCCGATTGATAGGCGAGTCTCCTCACTGTAACCGTGGGTCGAAGGCACCAATGCCGAACCACTAGGATATGTTATGTGCTTGTTGTCTTTGTGACTCTTGTTGTATGCTTGTATGCATGTTTAATATATGTATGTGGGGTGAAATAGACTCGGGGGTGAAATAGACCTGTATGGTTGAAAAATACCAATTAAGTTGAAATAGACTCGGGGGTGAAATAGACCCGGGGGTTAAATAGACTCGGTACAGCCTTGAGCTGACATATATGTATGGTATGTGGTATTTTGGGGAACTCACTAAGCTTTGTGCTTACGGTTTTACGTTTATGGTTTCAGGTACTTCCGGTACGAAAGAGAGGGGCCCGTCGTGAATGCGCCGCATCCACCAGAGTTTTCCGCATTGGCAAATTTTCAATATTTACTCTAATGTTTAAATACTATATTTACTTTGATCGGTTTTGGAACACTCGTTTGTATGGTTTATTGTTTTAAAAATGAAAATTTTACTATGAATTTTTGGGACGTTACACAAGGGCTAAAATGCAATTAATTCTCATACTTAGGGTTAAAAATGGAAATACCTCAACATCAAGATGTTGCACAAATATTCCTCACGCTCCTAAAATTAAACGCAATCTTCTTTCTGTGTAACAATTTTATCATGATAATAACGTTTTCTTTGAATTTCATGATACTTTCTTTGTGGTGAAGGACGAGATTTCCCACAGTACCATCCTCACACGTCCAAGTGAACAAGGGCTATACTCGTTTTGATGTCCGTCATTTCAACCGATTTCCAAAAGTGTTTTTACCATCGTTCGTGTTCCTGCTCACCCATGGCATCAATGGCTTGGTCATCCTCACCCGCAACTTTTGAACTCTATTTTATCTAAATATTCTCTTCTTGTTTTGAATAAACATGTGTCTTCTCCATGTAATGCATGCCACATAGGGAAATCATCAAAACTTTCTATTCAATTGTCGAATTTTAAGAGTAATCGTATTTTGGATTTGGTCTTTGTGATGTATAGGGTCTAGCTCCCATTCCTTCTTCTGATGGTCATAATTACTTTCAATTATGTGTTGATCACTTTACTCGTTATATGTAGTTGTTTCCTTTAAAACAAAAAAACAGATGTCTTTGCCACCTTCAAACATTTTCTTGCAATGGTTGAACGATAGTTTCAAACTAAACTTAAATCCATTCAAATGGATTGGGGTGGAGAACTTCAAGCCCTTCCAAAATTCTTTTCTCCACTTGGTGTTATTCACCGACGTTCATGTCCACATACAAGTGAGAAAAATGACTTTGTAGAACGTCGTCATTAACATGTGGTAGAATCGGGTCTCACCTTACTTGCTCAATTTGGGGTACCCTAACGATTTTGGCATTTTGCCTATGACACGGCTGTTTATCTCATAAATCACATGCCCTCTCGTACCTCTTCAAATATCTCACCACTTGAACATGCTTTGTCCCATAAACCAGATTTTTCATTCTTATGTGTGTTTGGCTGTTTGTGATTTCCTAATCTACGACCCTACAATAAACATAAAATGGAATTTTGTTCTATTCCTTGTGTTTTTCTTGATTATGGCACATAACATCATGGTGGTTATAGGTGTCTAGATCCAACAACTGATCGCATTTATATTGCTAGACATGTTCGGTTTGTTGAAGACAGTTTTCCCTTCCTAAAATCATCACCACCACCGCCTGACCCCACCACTTCTACTCCTTATGTTTGCAGCTACCCTACACAATTGTTATCTTCGGATCATGACATCACAACAACTCCCATCAGCCCATCAATTCCACATACACATGATACGTCCACTACATCTGCCACCAAACAGCCATCCATGCCTGCTCATACCCTCGAACAACCATCTTTGGCTGTTCCAGATAGTACACAACCCTCTACAGGTACGAGTCATCCTACAACCTCTACTCCTGTACAAACCAATGCCTCTCTCCCCACGCATTCGTCCATCTAATTTGAGACATCATCCTAAAAAATAAGTCCCCTATGATCCATCATCTTACACTGTTAATTTAGATGTCTCCGACACCGAGCCTACCACCTTTTCCACAGCTAATAAATCACCAAAATGGCATGTTGTCATGGCTGAAGAATATTCAGCCCTCATGCATAATGTTACATGGTCTCTCGTTCCGCTTGTTCCTAATGTCAACACAGTTGATTGTAAATGGGTATACAAACTCAAACGGGATCAAACAGGTGTTGTCGCTCAGTACAAAGCACACTTGGTTGCTAAAGGGTTCAATCAACAACATGATGTTGATTATCATGAAACTTCCAACCATATTGTAAAGTCAACTACTAATCGTACAGTTTTATCTCTTGTAGTTGCACAACAGTGGACACTTTGACAATTAGATGTGTAAAATGCTTTTCTACATGGTGAACTAAAATAGACAGTCTATTTGTGCCAGCCACAAGGTTTTATTGATCCCACTAAACCGAATCATCTTTGTCTACTTCACATGTCTCTGTATGGGCTCAAACAGGTACCTCGTGCGTGGTATCATCGGTTAATGAAAGCCTTACTTTCTCTTGGCTTTAAAGGGTCTATCCATCTCTCATTGTCTACTCATCTAAGGGGGGTCTTTTGTATATGCTAGTATATGTTGATGATATTATTCTCACCAAAAATAATTCTCTTGCTATTGATCATATCATCAAAAGTCTTAGCCACACGTTTGCAATTCAAGACTTAGGACATCTTTCATACTTTTTGGGTATTGAGGTGATTCGAAAACATAAGGAATTGGTTTTATCTCAGAGAAAATATATTCTGGAACTACTTCAAAGAGCAAATCTCTCCAAAGCAAAACCAGTTTTCTCTCCTATTACTACCACTGCCAATTTGTTTCTTGGTGATAGTCCTTTATTTGATGATTTGGTTCGTTATAGGCAGATGGTTGGTGCTTTGCAGTATGTTACCTTGTCTCATCCCGATATCACCTTTACAGTCAACAAAGTCTGCCAGTTTATGCACTCTCCCACTGAGAATCATTGGTCTGCTGTAAAACGGATTCTTAGATATCTTCAAGGGACGTCTCACTATGGCTTTCTAATCCAACATAATTCCAGGTCCATTCTTCATACCTACACTGATGCTCATTTTATAAATGCTTTTTCGGATGCAGACTGGGTTGGTTGTCCTAATTACCATCGATCCACGGGGGGATATGCCATCTACCTTGGAAATAACCTCATTTCCTGGTCGGTTAGAAAACAACGGACTGTCTCTAGGTCATCAACTTAGTCTGAGTACCAGGCTTTAGCGGACATAGTGGCTGAGCTCACATGGTTGGAAGCTCTTCTTCGAGAACTTAAAGTTTTCAAAACATCAGTTACAGTACTGTGGTGTAACAATTTGGGTGCTATCTACTTATCAGCAAATCCTATCTTTCATGCGCATACAAAATATGTGGAGGTTGATTTTCACTTTGTTAGAAAAAAGATTGTTGAAGAAAAACTTAATTTCAATTTATTTCTACACATGATCAGATTGCAGACATTTTCACCAAGCCGTTACCGCCTCAACGATTTACCGATTTACGTTCCAAGCTACAGCTCGTTACCCGGCCTTAGCTTGCGGGGGAATATTAGACTGTTTATTATATAGCTAGTAGTTAGAGGATACAAAGTATAAATATGTAACTTATATATATTTGATGTAATTGGTTTTATTAATACAATACAATACACAATAATATAAAAGTATTGGATAAATTAGTGATAGTATGATTAGTATCCCACCAACTGCCAGCTAGAGAGTTGGATGATTTTTAGTTGAATTCATCTTGTGCACATGTATTATCATTGTATGACAATCAACTTACCTCAATGTTATACTTGTTTTCCATGCTTATACAAAGCTTGTGTAGGTTGATTTTCACTTCTTTTGAGAAAATTCAATGTCTATATGAATAGATTGCGACTGTTATAGACGTCAATTCTAAATAATAATTAAAAAAAAATAGTAAGCCATATTTATACACTAAGTCAAGAAGAAATTAAGACCCACATATAGTTAGAAACAACAATAAATATATAAACATAGATGCTATTAAAACATCAAACACCTACCTTAACCTTAACCTTACAATCACAAATCCATTCATAACATCAACATGCTGCCACAAAATCGAATACTACCCCAACAGCATTGTTACATTTAAACCTAAACAAACTTAAACATATATATTTAAGAACACATACACTTTCTAATTTCCACAAAATATTCAAATTTCAATCAGTGATTTCTCCCTCTTCTTCATCAGAATCAACATCAACTTTCTCAACCACCTTCTCGCCACCTTCAACAACCAAACTATCCAGTTCTCCGGCGACTTCTCCGGTGACTTCTCCGGCGACACCGGGACCCGTTTCTCTCACAATTACATCCGGAAATCTCAAAGGCTTTTCCGGTTGACCGGAGAAGAAAGAGTTGACCACCATGAACCGGAAAACCTGTAAAAGATGGTTTTGGTCTCTCTTGATGTCTTTTGTCAAAAGTTTTTGTAAAAGTGATGGGTCCCGCTTGTTCTCGTTTGGCTTATTAGGGTTTTCTGATCTTGTTTTCTTGGTGATTCGATCATTTTGAAATTTATTTCCTCTTTTCTTTTGGAATTTTCCTTTTTTGAATCGTTCCTTTTCGTGTTTTTGGATGTGTTTTTCAGGACCCGATAAATAATGCGATGGAATATCGGCTACTTCACAGCCTAGTTCCGCCTGTTTTGTCAATATTTCCTTCAATTGCTTCCAAAATATAAAAAAAAAAAAAATTAGTTTCTCGTATTTTATATTATGCAAAAATATATAGCAACGTACTTTCATTGATTTTATTAAAGTTAAAAGTATTCTACTTTGGAAAATCTATCCAACATAGGGACCATTTTTTATAACTTTGTCTTACACAGGGACCATTAATGTAATTTAATTTTACACAGGGACCATTTCTGTAAGTTTACCTTGCACAGGGACCATTTCTGTAACTTTTTCATACTTAAGGACCATTACATAGTTTTTTTCACGTTTTCTATAATTTTTCCATACTTAAGGACCATTATATAATTTGTTTTTACACGGACCATTTCTGTAAAAAAACTATAGGGAAGAAAATTGTAAATCATGCAAATTAAAAAGTACAGGAGCCAAAATTGACATTTAGGCATTTACTGCAATTTATAAAAAATGAAAGTACATTGCTATTTAATATACCTGACGACGTAATACGGATGCCTCTTCTTCCTTGGATTTGTTGACATTTGTGGGATAATGCTTCTTACGAGCCTCACGCCACTGCTTAATTTCTTGCTCTGTATACTTCAGAGAGGGTACCCTTCAATTTATGAAATGACAATTTTACCCCTAGTCAGTTATTATATTAACAACACCACAAGTAGTTACACAAATGGATGCTTAAAAAAGAATAAATGTACAGAAATTACTTTTTTTCAAACTTGGTGGAAATGGAATTTTGATGCCTAGAATTTACTGCAGCATTTTTCTTACCCTCTGCTGTTCAACAATCCAAACATATAATAATTAGTGAAGCATAACAACTGCAAATAAATAATATGCATAATACAAATACATGTAATAATATAACTTCATTTGAAAATTGAAGTAATTCTATGTAACAAAGAAATTAAATGATGAGGTGTTCACCTTGATTCATATTGCCATTGTAGGCATGTTTTCCATGATGAAACTGAGACTTGAATCTGCAAACATTCAACTTCTATATGAATGAACTTATAAATTCAACTAATAACAAAGAGATTTATGAATCTTATTATTTATAAATTATAAAACATACCCTTTATGTGATTGTGAGGCGTCATTCTTTTTATCTCCTGTGAAGTTCTTGCGTGGAGAAGTCCATCCACCATTAATGTTGTTTCCATGTTTCTCCTGTTAATAGCATTCTTTAAAGCCACTATATTGCTCTACCACCAAAAAGAATATATGGCAAGATATATAACTTCAACAAGTAAAAAGAATTATTTTTTTGTGATCAACATGTGATTCAAATTATAAGCCACAGCATGCAATCAACTTTCAGCATCAATAAACACAAGTTACAGACAAGAAAAATTGATACCTGAAAATTTGAGACTGTAGGAGAAGGTTTCTGGGGTAAAATTGAGGTCCCTTGTTGACCTTTTTGTCCTTGATTAGCATGTTGCATGGGCCCACTTGGATTCATCTGATTTGGAAGAAAGTTGTGATTTTGAGGAACCACACCTTGAGGAATCTGGTTCTAGAACATGGGAATTTTAAATTAGACATCATCGTAGTTTTGATATTTTATTTAACATGTTTTTATATCATGGAAGGTAGCTACAAGTGTTAAGAGCTAATGACAGAAATGATAGAATACATGGATGGAATTTTGAAGCACTAAAGAGTATCTACACTTTTAGTGTCAACAAAGAAGAACATAACAACAAAACTGATACCTGTAAAAGGAGATTTGGTGATTGCTGTGGTTGAACTGAATTAGGAGCATGAGGTAGAAACGGGTTCCCTTGTAATTGTTGCCCTTGATTAGCATGTTGCAAGGGGCCATTGAAATTAGGCATGCCAAACTGCTGATTTGGAAGAAATCCAGGGTTTTGATGACTCATAACATTTGGAATCTGGTTCTGGAACATGGGGAAATTACCAGGAGGACATTGGGGATAATTGGGGTTCTGTGATTGTGATTGTAATTGAAGAAGCTGATAGATATTTTGGATCGTATTCTGCATAATCACTTGCTCATTAGGTAAAGCAACATTTGGGTTGTATACAGGACGATTCATGGAATTGTTAGGAAAGAACTGAGAAGGATTAAACTGGTTTACAGGAAAGGGATTAAAATTCTGCTGTGGATTGAATCCAGGAAAACCAGTAGGGTATTGAGCCATAGTATTTTGCAAGGGAAAGGGCTGATTAGGGAAATTCATGAAACAAGATGGAGGTGCGATTGGTCTGTTATTGGGCAATAATCCTCCAACATTTCCATTGCAGGTTTGCTGATTAGTGACAGAGTTAACCTGTTCATCATATAATACATTTACTTAGCTCCAAATTCAAAAAAGAAATTTTGTTAAAGCACATTCCAAACACATAAAACTCGGGATATTCTAAACCAGAACAAATTTGGCTTAAACCTCCTACTTCTACTCGTATCAGTTTCTCGTTTCAGAAGTAACTCAAAAATCGAAGTGCAACTCTGTTTTGAGAGCCGATGGATTAAGAAATTAGTTCAGAATATGATCAGAAAAGAAGAGTAGAAAGGGCAACAGAGTACCTGTTGAGCTGCGGAAGGAGTTGCTGGATTTTGGTTGGAATTATGATGAGGATTCATGATCAAGGAGTTGCTGGATTTTGTTATTGTTCTAAATAATTAGGTCATTCGAGAACCACAGGGTTTTAGAGAGGGTTTTTGTTGTTGTTCTAGTAATTTTATATACAATGCTCGCGTGCTGCACACAATTAGGCATTGGGCGTCGCACATAACACCCGGCACTAGCACATAACACCCGGCACTAGCAACAGAGAAAAGAAAGGAAATGAGCGAAAATGAGAGGAAAGTAAGAGAGATTGGTGCTCCCGAGTTTCATTCAAGGAAGGAAGTGGAAGGAAATGGAAGAAAAACTTTCTCTCCTGACTTTTCTTCCGATTTAGGAGGATTTGAAAAGAGCAAATTAGTTCCCTTACTTTTTTTCTTTTTCTTTTTTTTTGACAAAACTGCATTTTTGGTCCCTGTGGTTATCCAAAAAGTGTGGATAAGATCCAAAATGTTTTCAACTTGCACCATTAGTCCAAAAACTGAAACTTTTTGTGGTTTTGGTCCCTGAAAATTTTAAAATTACTTAGAAAGACTATTTTTCCCTTCCATTTTGTTTATTCCATTTTTTTATGTATTTCAGTAATTCAGTAGTTGAAAAAAAAAAGCAAAAAGAAAATATTATCAACACCCCTCCCACCCCCACCTCTTACGTCGATAACCCTACCCCTCTCTTACTGATTTAATCCACAATCATACACTGATACACATACATAAACTATGAACATAATGAAGTTCTGGGAAAAGATTCTGCAGATCCAACACATATGAGCACACATAATGAAGTTTTGGAAAAAATGATGTTGATTAAACACACATATGTGTACACACATACCTTTCTCTTCTCTCTCTCTCTCTCTCTCTCTCTCTCTCTCTCTCTCTCTCTCTTTCTCTCTCTTGCGTCTCTCATTCTTTCTTCCTAATTCAACAAACACACACAGACACATACTGATAAACCAGATTCAGAACATTGATAAGCCAACACCTCCTTCTATTACTCTCTTTCTTGAGTCTCTCATTCCAGCAAAGGATTTTCACCTTCGGAGAAACCTCCAAGAGCGAAGCAACCATCAGTTTATGTGTGTAGTTGTTAAGATCCGAGATTTTAGGGTTTTTAGATGCTCAGGTGGTGTCAATTTTTGTGTTCACCGGTGTATGTATGTGATGAAGGTCTGATTTTCAAGCACTTGTTCAGCACCATTATTTCCATTTCTCAATTTCTTGAAGGCCCAATCTCCAGATTCTGATTCAATTTCTTGAAGGTGCAATATACATATTCTGATTCCTTACAGTGACTCAAGTTCACCACCAAAGTTGTTGCAGATATGGGTTTTAACTCGTGGTTGTTTTTGTGTGTGATGAACCCAATAGAGAAAGGGAGGGGTGGGGTTTACGAATTGGGAGGGTAGGTTAAGATGCTTTAGAAGATTGAAACCCCATTTTTCATGAGAATCGGTTTTGGGGGGAATTCCATTTGAGATAAAAAACTGCTCCAGTTCTAGGGAATCATTTCAATGACGGTGGTGGCTTAAGGTTTTTTAAGGTGGGTCTAAAATTATGTTACCTGGTGTTTTTGTCCTTGAAGGGATGACGAAGACGATGAGGGAAAGAGGGTTTTTCAAGTGGAGAGAGGGAGAGAGAGAGAGGGGGGGGGGGGGGAGGGGTTACCGGTGGAGAGAGATGGATGGGGTAGGATTTTACTTTATTTATATTTTTTTAAACATTTAAATACTAAATTAATAAAGAAAATAGAAAAAACAAATCAAAAGGGTAAAAGAGTCATTTCAAATTGTTCAGGGACCAAATCCACGGAAAGTTTGTGATTTTGGACCAGTGGTGCAAGTTGGAAACTTTTTGGACTTCATCCACATTTTTTTGCTAACCACAAGGACCAAATTTGCAGTTTAGTCTTTTTTTTTCTTTTTTCCCATTCGGACCATCCTTAGGTTACGGTTTTGTTACGTCTTTCATCCCTGTCATATATAAAAAGACTAGACTGCCCTTCTCCTTTTCTTTTTTCATTTATTTATTTTATAAGTTATTTATATTTATATTCTTAATTAATTAAATGGGTCCTACCTACTCTATCTCATCCTCACCCATTCCCCCTCTTTCATCTTCTCATATGAACGATCAGCTACCACCACCAAGGTCGCCTCCATGGTCGACCTCGACTCCTCCGCAACCACTACCACATGTGCTTCCCTACATAGACTGCTCGTAAGGAACAGTTACGTCAACGACCTTGGTCTGTTTTCCAGATCCGTTCTTGACAACATTCTCAACAGATCTTCAACCCTAATCGAAGATTGATGAATGTTTTCTGGGTGATTTTATGGTGGTGCCGGTGGTAGTTTTTTGGGTGATTTTCTATGCTCGTCGGCAGTCTAATAGAGGATTCAGGTGAAGGGAAGTTATAGCAGGTCTTTTTCTGAAATCAAGATGAGTTCCTCTCCCTACCTCCCTTCCATGCCTCGTCATCTACCCTAAGTCCAAACGTTTCAACAACCCAGAGATGTTCCTCTCCACACCTCTCTTCTCCGTCTCTTCTTCTAACCCTAAATTCAAAAACTGGAACTTAACCTTCCACGTTTCCCTATGCAAGAAATAATGAGGGGTCAAATTGTAAGAAATTGTTCTCCATCTTTTGTATGTGTTTCTTTGGGTTGAGGGTTTACATTTATTAGAACTGTTCTTCAATTTTTGTATGTGCTGGAAACGATTGTAATAGTGGTGTAGTAGTAAATGCAGATGGAATTTAGAGCTTTGGATTACAATACCGTCAGTCATCAGACATGTCAAATTTGGGTTTTGATTTTGCAGTTTCATATTTTAGGTTGGATGTTAAGTCCAATTTTAGGTTTTGATTTTGAGTTTTGGTTTTCAGTTTAAGATTCAGATTTTAGGATTTAGTTTTGAGTTTCAGATTAGGATCTGATTTTAATAGATTTCAGGTTAGGATTTGAGGTGTTTATTTACAGATTCCGGCAAGAGCACTGGTAGATTAATCGGAGAAGACGAAGGTGGGAGGGAATGGCAGGTCGTGGGTCGGGGGAAGTGGCCCTTTGTATTTTAATAATATTTATTTATTTCTTGCGGGACCCAAATTAATTAATTGATAATATAAGTACTTTTTAAAAAAATTAACATATTAAAAAATAATAGACAAGGGCACGATAGACTTTTTACATCCAATAGGGACAAACACCGTAATAAAATCAAACTATAGGGATGGTCCGAGTGCAAAAAATTGTTAGGGGCCAAACACATAATTTTGACCAAACCATAAGGACGATTTCAGTAATTTGTTCTTTTTATAAAATGTTTTTTTATTGCTTAGACCATCCGGTATACCGACACCACGAGCTGGTTTGTGGTTGACTTGGCCATGATAGTGGTCTGTGCACATCACCCCAACCGCTCGTGGTCGGCCGTGGTCGTGCTCCGATGTGCTGCCCACCACGAATTGAAACGGCCAATGGGAATGCTTTGACCGACCGCTCAATGGCTAATTTTCAAAAAATATTCTTTTTTTTTAAAACACAAATTTTATCTATAAAAACCACATTATACATCTATATTTATTACACTATTCTTTTCTTTCTCTATATTACATTATAAACACAACTTTTTTACAACCAAAAAACATGGATCCCAAACAAAATCCCCCCCCCCTCCCACCTTTAGAAATCGCAAACCCGATAACGTTTTTGTGTTAGATACAACCCTTCGTCAATTCCCGACCATGGAATCACCTCAAGGTGGTTTTGTCAATTTTCTTCAAACCAGTTTCCCTATCCAACAAACACCATTTTTTCAACAACAATTTCAACCTTTTCCGGCCTTTCAACAACAATTCTACAAATTTCAACAATTCGAACAATTTCATCCACAATCGTCACAACTACCACCTTCACAATCACAACCACCTCATTCGTCGGATTTTGTTTCCGAAAAACAACATTCACCACCACCACCTCAACCAAAAAAGAAAAAAGGAAAAAAAAACGGTCTGCCCCACTACCCAAGAAAGGGTACCATGGACAAAAGAGGAAGAAGAAAAGTTAGTGGAGACGTGGGTTTTGGCTTCCCAAGACCCAGTTGAAAGAGATAATCCAACCTTCAATTGTTTTGGGGAGAAAGTTTGAAGTGTGTTTTATGCGTTAACGGGAAGTGAAAGTCAAAATCTCGATCAAATTAGCTCCAAGTGGAGCGATATTCGACTAAAATGCATCGAATTTGGAGGAATTTACAACAACCTCCAAAACATAAGCAAAAGTGGGTCAAACAACTTCGATGTCTTCAAGGCGATCTTGGATCAATTTGAAAAAACAACGGCAACCCCGCAAAGCTTTTCCGTATGTGAAATCGTGGCTAAAATTGAAAGACGCTCCAAAATGGAAACAGAAAACAGAAGGAACTTCACAAACCTCTTCCAATTCAAAGCGTTCAAGAAACCCGATTGCAACTTCCCAACAGTCAGACGGGCGAACACACATCGACATCAACGATGATTCGCTCGATCTTGAAGACGAGCAACCTCTTCGTCGGCCGGTTGGAAGAAATAAAACAAAAAAAGCAGGTTTGTCGGCTTCGGGTTCTAGTGTTATCAATCATTTTAGAGAGAAATTTGATCGATATGTCCACATTCAAGAAACCAAGGCGGAGACGTTGAGTAAGGTGGAGCAAAAAATGATAAAAGCGCAACCATCATTCCAAGAGGCACAAACGACACTTCAAACAAAAACCAACATGGAGATTTTGAAGATGAAAGCAGATGATCTCGAAGGTGAAGATTTGAAGATTTTTCTCGTGATGAAAGATTCTGTTCGAGCCCGATATAGGAATAGTGGGTAGTTTTTGTAGTTATGTTTGGTATTTTTAGGTGTTTTATTTTTATTTTTTATTTTTATTTATTATTTTAATTAATGTAATGTGGTATTTTAATTTAATGAAAAACTAGTATTAAAAAACATTATATGTCTTTTATGTATTTTTTGAATTTAATTTAATTAAAAAAATATAAGGTGGAGTGGTGTGTTTAGTGGTATGTATCACATGGTTACTGGTAGGGAGTGTGGTGATGATGTGACACTCATCACTATAATGGTTAGTGGTATAGTTCAAGTATTAGAAAATTAATGTCAAT